GTGGCTGCTCTGTACAAAACCCCCTTTTGCCCTGTAGCCTCGCCAACCCGTCACCCTTCCTTGCCAAGCAGCAAGCAGGAAAACTAATGCATTTTTTCCAGAAAAATTCATCTTGCCCCGATGCGGATGTTGAAAATAGCTCAGATGAATCAAAGCCCCCAAATGCATAGTTGTCCCCATAAGGGGAACTGAGGGTGACTAATTGAGATGTGAAAGCCTACAATTAGATGAGATGACTCCTGGACCGACATGACTCAACCCCAAAACCTGGAAGCAGAAATTATTAAGCTGCAGCTGGGATGGAAAATAAACGTTGCCTGGATGGAGACACATAAGTAGGAGAGGAGGTGATGATGGAGTGGGGGGGAGTTTTGGCCAACTTGGGGAGTCTGGGCCAACTTTGGGAGTCTTGGAGTCATCAAACAAGTGGGGCACGTCCAAAAACCACAAATGGCCAGAAGCACAGAGCCTTTCTGGGTTGTCAGCATCAGCTGGCAACCTGGGAAAAGCCAAGACTGCTCAGACAGCATCTTGAAAGACCGTTCTTGGCCAAGCTGTGTGACTCCTTGGCATGGGGGATAAAGCTCCACCCTGCTCTTAGGCAAAGGAAGACGTGTCAGCGTGGTGGCTCCAGGCGGGCAGCTTTCCATGGGGGACACCCATCCAGGAAAGCAAGGTGCCCAGCCATGGTGGCCTGCGTCCAATATATATGAAGCATGGGGATGTGCTACTCCCCGTAGAGGCTATCCTTGGGCAAACCAGGGAAAATAAGACATCAGGTTTGTTGTACTAAAGCAAAACCTCAGGCAACTGCTTAGAAAATTTGAAAACAAAGTTCTGACAGGCATTGTCCCTCTCCAGCTTGTAGTCTTTATTCAGCTTGTCCCCATCTGCTCTGAGCCACCTCTTTCAGGCCACAGAATTAAATGTTGTTGTAACGGCGAGTAAATCCTCTTTGGTAAAAAGTATCAACTGCCTCTTCTAGTGCTGCTTATAAATGCCTTTACTCCAGAAGTTTCACTGACACCGCACGTGGGTTTGGGATTGTCAAAAAAATTCTTCCCTTCTTTCAGACATTGTAATTACAGTTAATTTATTTTTCAAGGGACCCCCCAACACCACATTAATTCGTAATTCAAACTCTGAGGTGTTCAGCAAGAGGTAGAGCTCAGCAGATGCACAGAAATGGATGGTGCCCTTCTTCTGCTGAGCATCAGCCTTATTTCTTCTGCTTGACTCCACTATGGCAGGCGATACCTGCTTCGGTTTGGTCAGAGGGGGACCTAGGGGAACACAAGCAAAGAGAAGTTTGTTCATGGCTCCTCTGAGTGCGCCCTTCACCTCCTTGTTCCTCAGGCTGTAGATGAAAGCGTTGAGCATGGGGGTCACCGTGGCGTAGAAGAGGGAGGCTGTTTGTGTCCAGCTCTGGGCTCCCCAGTTCAAGAAAGATGAGGAACTCCTAGAAAGAGTCCAGAGGAGAGCAACTCAGATGATAAAGGGACTGGAGCATCTCCCCTGTGAGGAAAGGCTGGGGGAGCTGGGCTTGTTCAGCCTGGAGACGAGAAGGCTGAGAGGGGATCTCATCAACATGTACAAATATCTTAAGGATGGATGTCACGAGGATGGAGCCAGACTCTTCCCAGTGGTGCCCAGTGCCAGGACAAGGGGCCATGGGCACAAACTGAGACAGAAGAGGTTTCAGTTGAATATGAGGAAAAACTTCCTTACTCTGAGGGTGATGGAGCCCTGGCCCAGGCTGCCCAGGGGGGCTGTGGAGTCTCCTTCCCTGGAGATATTCGACCCCTGCCTGGATGAAGTCCTGTGTAACATGCTCTAGGAGAACCTGCTTGAGCAGCGGGGTTGGACTGGGTGATCTCCCAAGGTCCCTTCCAACCCTTGCCAGTCTGGGATTCTGTGATTCTGCGTGTCTGGAAAAGGAATGGAAATACAAGAAAGCTGCAGAGCCATAGAAAAGGGTGACAGCCATGAGGTGGGAGGTGCAGGTGGAGAAGGCTTTGTGCCTGCCCTCCTAGGAGCGGATGCTCCAGATGGTGAGCAGGATGCAGGCATAGGAGACAATGGCCAAGACTGAGGCTGTTATGATGAAGCCAATGAACACGGCCATCACCATCTTGTTGAGCCAGGTGTCGGAGCACGAGAGCAGCAGGAGTGGTGGGATTTCACAGTAGAAATTATTGACGAGGTTTGGGCCGCAGAAGGAGAGCTGGAGGAGAGCGCTGGTTGTGCACAAGGGCATTCAGGCTCCCGACAGCGTAGGAGCCCACCACCAGCTGGACACAGACCCCGTGGGACATGGCAGCCAAGCAGTGCAGAGGCTCACAGCTGGCCACGTAGTGATCATACACCATGACGGTCAGAAGGATGGCTTCCGTGGTGCCAAATACCACAGAGAAGAAAAACTGTGTGATGCAGCCATTGAAATAAAGGCCATTTCTCTCTGCAAGGTGATCCAACAGGAGCTTCAGCGTGACGGATAAAGAATAGCAGATGTCCAGGAAAGAGAGGTGCCTGAGGAAGAAGTACAAGGGTACATGAAGCTGAGGGTTGGTCCTGATAAGGATGATCACTCCCAGGTTCCCCACCAGCGTGGTGATGTAGATGAGTAAGAAAATCACAAAGAGCAGTTCTGTGAAGCCCAAGAGGACAAACTCGGACACACTTGAGTTTCCCCCAGCCATCCTCCCGGCGCCAGCGCAGAGGAGACAAAGAATCGTAGGGAAGATGTGAAATAATTTCTCCCAGCTTTCAGGAACATGCAGTGCCTGAGGCTAATGCGGGGTTTGGTGTTTCCTCGGTGAATACACCCAGTTATTCGGAGAAAAAATATGACGGCTATGTCCAGAGGAGAGCAACAAAGCTGGGGAGGGGTCTGGAGCCCCAGGCTGCTGGGGAGTGGCTG